TACCAATGTACATTGCCAAAGAGCCACAGTAATATGTCAGCAGCCCCCCATCAGCTCCCCTCCCCACCTCCCGCCCACCAGCAGCCCCGCCGATCAGCGCCTCCCCCTCCCTCCCCGCACCTCCCAATCAGCTGTTTCGTGGCGTGCAGGAGGCTCTGGGGGGGGGGGTAGGGGGAGGAACGAGGGCACGGCAGGCTCAGGGGAGGGGGTGGGAAGGGGTGGGAAGGGGTGGAGTGGGGTCAGGGCCTGTGGCAGAGCCAGGGGTTGAGCAGTGAGCACCCCCCGGGCACATTGGAAAGTTGGCGCCTGTAGCTCCAGTCCCGGAGTCGGTGCCTATACAAGGAGCCGCATATTAACTTCTGAAGAGCTGCATGTGGCTCCGGAGCCACAGGTTGGCCACCCCTGCTCTAAAGTTTTGCATTGTTTTGTTTTTGAATGCAATTATGGAACCAAAAAAATCTACATTTGTAAGTTGCATTTTCACAATAAAGAGATTGCACTCCAGTACTTGTATGAGGTGAACTGAAAAATACTATTTCTTTTATTTATCATTTTTACAGTGCAAATATCTGTAATCAAAAATAATATAAAGTGAGCACTGTACACTTTGTATTCTGTGTTGTAATTGAAATCAATATATTTAAAAATGTAGAAAAACATCCACAAATATTTAACAAATTTCAAGTGGCATTCTATTGATTAACAGTGCGATTAAAACTGCGACTAATCGTGATTTTTTTATTTAATCGCATGAGTTAACTGCGATTAATTGACAGCCCTAATTTCTATTATATTATGACATGTCACAGTAATAGGGCATATTATGGGCGTACATTAATGGCAGTTGCTAGTTCGTATTGATGGAAACCTATTATGTGCTGTTACTCCTGCCATGGTATGAAATAATGTAAACATGAAAAAAGAAAGGACATCAAATTCTAAACAACATTTTGAATATTTCCAAACCTCTTTTTTTTTTGGCAGGAATTTTTGTCAGAATCAACACAATTTCATGACAAATTTCAGTTTTGGAGAAACTAACGAAAAACGTTTGAGGAAAATGTTCTGACCAGCTGTACGGAGGTGGCCGTCCTAGTGGTGACAGTAAGTGGCACAGGCTGGCCAGCGAAACCCCAGTGTCTGTCTGTGTGCAGCAGCCTCAATCAAAGATTCCCCATTCACTGCAGCCACTGCTGACGCCTGCCTCTGCTCTGCCCCAATCAGCGGCTCCCCTCACCGCTGGCATCACCCCATTATGCACTGTCTCCAGAAAAATGGGGTGTGACTCACCTTCAGGACTATTTCAACTGTGAACACGGAGGTGAAGCCGATGTCAAAATATCCCAGAACCTGAAGATAAAAATCAGGCAGAGGTTTTGGTAACTCAGGAGACCAGATGTTATTTGAACGTCCTACAACCAGGAGCTTTGGCAGACAGACGGCACACTGCCCCGCTGAATGGAAACTGCACACCTGGTGCTAATAATAAATACAACAATAATACATACATGCTTTGCACTGTGACTGCTTCTTTCACGCCAGCATCTTTACGACACTAATAAATTAAGCCTCCCAGCCCCCACAGCAGTCAGGAAAGGATTATCCTTGGCAGAGCACAGCAGTCCAAGGGTTAGAGCCCGGGAGCCAGGATTCCTAGCTACTGTTCCCATCTTTGGGAGGGGAGAGTGTTCATTGAATCATAGAAGATTAGGGTTGGAAGGGACCTCAGGAGGTCATCAAGTCCAACCCCCTGCTCAGAGCAGGAACAACCCCAACTAAATCATCCCAGACAGGGCTGTGTCAAGCCGGAACTTAAAAACCACCAAGGATGGAGATTCCACCACCTCCCTAGGGAACCCATTCCAGTGCTTCACCACCCTCCTAGTGAAATAGGTTTTCCTAATATCCAACCTAGACCTCCCTCACTGCAACTTGAGACCATTACTCCTTGTTCTGTCATCTGCCACCACTGAGAACAGCCGAGCTTCATCCTCTTTGGAACCCCTGTTCAGGTAGTTGAAGGCTATCAAATCCCCTCTCACTCTTCTCTTCTGCAGACTAAATAAGCCCAGTTCCCTCAGCCTCTCCTCGTAAGTCATGTGCCCCAACCCCCCGATCATTTTCATTGCCCTCCGCTGGACTCTCTCCAATTTGTCCACATCCCTTTTGTAGTGGGGGGCCCAAAACTGGACACAGTACTCCAGATGTGGCCTCGCCAGTCAGTGTTCTAGTGGTTAATGCTGGCGATTTAGGGTCAGGACTCCTGGGTTCAATTCCTGGTTCTGGGAAAGGACCATGGCCTAAGGTGTCAGGATTCCTGGGTTCTTTTCCCAGCTCTGTAAGCATCTAGCTGGGTGACCTTGGGCAAGTAATTTCCCCTCTCTGGGCCTCAGTTTCCCTATGTGTAAAACGAGGTTAGTGACAGTGCTTTGGGGTCCTCAGATGAAAGGCTCTGTACATTCACAGTATTACAATCCAAGACCATTTAAAGGTGGGGAATCTGAGGCACAGAGTGATGTTAAGTGACTTGCCAGTGATCACACAGGCAGTTAGTGGCAGTGGTAGGGGCAGAAGCCAGGAGTCCTGATTCCACTTTTTTAGAGCAGTCCCATTTTACCTCAGCTGTGTGCCCCATGCTGCTGAGGTTTCCACGGAAACCTGAGCCAGCAGTCCAGTGATCGAGGGGCCCACCAATGGCTCAGGCCCCTGCAATGGCAGGGATTTGTTTTATTGAGACATACCTAGCGGGTCCTTGCAAGTGATCTGTGCCACAGAGGAAGGCAAAACCAGCCAGCCCCAAGATGCCAGCCGGTGTGACCTGGGGGGAACTCCTTCCTGACCCCAAATATGGTGATCGGTTGGACCCTGAGCACGTGAGCAAGAACCAGCCAGCCGAGCGCCTGAGAGCACGAATGCTCGGTGCCACCTCTGCACCCTGCTCAATGGCCCACCTCCAGCCTTGGAGTTCTGATGAATAACTCCATCCACACTTGTGGGGTCTCCGAGTGCTTCACAGGGCAATGGACTGCTCTGCGGGCATCCCTACCGCTCCCTGCACCACAGGGGCAGAGCAGCTCCCAGCGGGGAACGAATGTAACCTCACAGGGCAGCTTTATTATCCCTCTGCTACAGACTGGGATGGTGAGGCACAGAGAGGAAGTGACTTGCCCAGGGCCACAAAGTAAAGTTAGTGCCAGGCCAGGAATGAGAACCCAGAATCCCCTGCTGCAGCCCTGGAACAGGTTTTCCTTCCAGAGCCAGGAAAAGAATCAAGGACTCCTGATTCCTCATCCCCTGCACTAAACTCTCCTTGGGCACAAGGCAATAGCCTGGCAAGCAGCTCCCCTGAAGCTGCACGTTTCTGGTGGCTCAAACTGCTTTCCCCAACAGCCCATCCTGGGAACCTTGTTCCTGAAGGACACAGGCCGGATGGGATCCTCAGCCGCCAGGGAGACGCTGCTGAGCAGGATGAAGAGCAGGATGAAGTTGGTGAACCAGGTGGCGTTGACGATTCGGTGGCACAGCACTCGGATCCTGGGGAAGGGAGAGAGGGGAGGCAGGCAGTCAAAGCATTGTCAGCTCCAAGGGGCTGAGTGACAGCCCAGGTTAGAGCTTGGGGACTGGTGCAGCTGGGGAGATCCCTGCGTGAGTCTCGGGGGTGGCACCCCTCATTCTGTGTGCCCGGCATGCTTCTACCCTGGGACAGCTTGTGGGCACAGCTGGTTCCAGAGGCTGTAACAGCCCATTATAGTTAAAGGTGTTACTTTGTAGCTCAGTCGGGAGGTTCCAGGTTCTATCCTCACTGATCACTGCTGGGTTTCTGACAGATGGGAGGAGAAGCAGCACCTACTTGTTGGTTGGGCTGAAGATGAAGAAGGCACTGGCTTCGGGCATGGGTACTGCTTTCTCCTTGAGCTGCAGCTCTGCCAGGGGGCGTGGCCGAGGGCTCAGGGGGATTTCGGGCTCATCTTCCTCATCGTCACCTGTGGAGCAGCCAGAGGGAGGGAAACATAGTCAGTCACTTTGAGCTCGCACGTTGGGGTCATTCACTTAGCAGCAGACCAAAAAAAAAAAAAAAAAACCTTAGCAGAAGCTGAAACTTAGAGGTAGAGAAGGATCACTTGGCCCCTCTCCATCCTGGGCAGCCAATGAGGGATTGTTTCCTTAACCATCCGGAGTTGGGGATGATGAGACCCCCGTGGTCCAGCTGCAGGATGAGTCAGCAGAACAGCTGTGACCCTCCATGCAGGGATCAGGAACCTGACATCTGGCCATGTTTACTTTTATGCTGGGCAGAGAGATTGTGGCCACCACAGTTAGATGAAGGGCTGTTGCTCCCCTCGCACCCCACAGCCCTGGGGGTACTCACACTCCCGCTGTGGAGCAAGATGCTGCTTGCCATTAGAGACCCATAGGACAAAACCCTGGGGTATCCCCCGACGTCCTGACTTCAAATCCTCCTGGCCAAACCCAGCTCCCAGCTCCCATTGTTCTCAGTGTGTGTCGGGGGGTCCCCCATCTTATGTCTCCTAGTGCGCCCCCTAGTGGCCAGCAGGACTCACCCATCAGTGAGGCAAGTAACACCCCACAAGCAATGGAAGAGGCATGTGCAGAGTCTGGTATCCTCCCCAGAGAGAGAGGTAGAACTCCCTGATCACGCCCCTACCCTCATACACAGACCAAGTGCTGCAGAGAACTGCACAGAGTTTATTCCAGCTCGGCGTCTGCTGGAAACAAACCATGTGGCTTTCTGCATCGTAATAAGCCACTAGCTGAGCTGCACTCTTGGGACCAGAGCCCTCCAATGGGATTTCTCTCTGCAAGCCACCCCAACCCTTTCCATCGCTCCCTCAATCTCTCCGGCTGGAGGCAAGGATCAAGC